CTGCAATACAAAAAGACGGAATCCCTGTGCTTTTGACAACTAGATTAAACAAATGCACGGAAAACTTCAAATGCACGTATATGCATTGTATATGACATACAGCAATTACAATATTATCTGCACTGAAGTTGCTTTCACGTAGATTATATTTCAAATAAAATGCTTTCAAATTTCAAACAGAATCGTTAAATGGAACTCTTTCTATTTTTAGTATTTCAAAAAGTAAACGTAACGTGTAAGCCTATATATTTCAAAACCCTTATCAATACTCTACAACGCTAAGTCAGAACCCTGTTTAGTCCAAAAAACGTCCCATACTCAAAAGTTTTCGGGATAAATTTCTGCAAATAGGTTTCACGCGGTGTAATGGTGGACTTCCCCCACCAGGGAAATCGGAGGGGGAAGGAGGGGGTAGCATATTCCAACAACCGTTCGGCGAACCTCTGTACTTATTGTTGGCACCTGTCCATGATTGCCCAGGTTGAGGAAGCCAGGAGGAGTTACCTAGGTGAACGTTTTGACACACTATCCCACTTGAAAGTTAATCTAATATTTTTGTAAAGTATGCTAAGTGATCATGAAGCATGAGTTTAAACGGAAAATATTTGACGTGAGGTAGTACGTGTGTGTATGTAACAGATTTTCATTGATAACGGAACTGATACATGGCTAGCCCCTTCGTGTCTCTGGCCGTTTTAGGGGATTCCAATACAAAACAAACACAAAAGTCATGCATATCGGTACCAAGTTGTGTTAAAACCCCGATTAGCTTAACTCAAAGTTATTTCAAAGCATCCATGTAGCATATCTGTTTTAAAAATATTGAAATTCAAAGCTATAACTACATGTACAGGGATTTCAAAGGATCGTCCGAATGTATGAAATACAAAAAAACGCTATTTTTTTTTTCAGAAACTCCTCAGAAAAAAATTGAAAAAGAAATGCGCTTACGTTCATTTTTCTGAACTGGCTTTGAAACTGGGCCAAAGTGTTGGGGGCTCTGACTGGCTATTTGACTACATTAAGTAACTTGAACACAGTCAAAACGAGAGTCTAATAGAAATACGTGTAATTATAGGAATGCTATATTATACACAATCCGTAATGTATACGAGTGGGTTGAATGAGATATACATTCTCGATAATGGCGAAGGAAAGGGTTGAATAAAATATAGGAATGGATTTAATGCGAAAGGAATTGGTTGAATCAGAAAGCACATAGTTGAATGGGACATGAATGGGTTGCATAAGATAGATATTGGTTGTATGAGACAAAGGATGGGTTGAATAAACAGGTCTATTATTTTCTCATAAGTTTCTTGCTTTACCTGCTCTTTATGGTGTATTACCGGTAAGGTGTTGTGTGTATGCTAGGTGAGATTTGGTGTCCGTTCGAGAATAATAGGATTTAATTACAGGTAAATTATAGTCTGTACTATAAAGTGTCTTACCACATATCTCATAGCGCTTTTCATTCCATCTCACACTTAAAACATGCTTCTTGTTCAAATGATTTGTCAATCAAATAAATAGCAATAGGTGGATAATTCTAAAATGTGTTCCGTTTCTTCAATATACATCGTGGATGAAATCATATTTCCCTGCGTAACTAGTATGGCACGCCAGATAGTTCCTTAATCCTCTTGAGCATTCGAAATCATCGTTTACAAATGGTTTGATCACAGTAACACATTTCATCGCTACCTATTAGTGACTGTTGGGTTATACACTTCTGCCGCAATACAGAACATGGTGCACGGTGGAGGCCATATCAGAAGACCAAAAGCATCCTCGACATTCGAAACAGGGCACCTGCCAAATGTCTTTTGCGCCAGTCCTCGATATCACTCAAATCTCGTCGGTGTATATACATGCGCGTGAGAGCTACCTGCCACCACCCGTTGTCCGTGCACGTACATTTACCACGCCCACGTCTGATATGTACCTGGTTTCGTAATGACGTAACAGAGTAAGCGTCTTAACGGGAGGTAAAAACGTGGAAAACAAACATATACGTAACATAAGGAGAATAAATCGTCAGTTCAAATATATCGCAAATACTTTGTTGTTATATAATTCTTATTATTATTTCTTGTTATCGTCCTAAATAGCATACCATCCATTTTTATCACTCGTTTGTGCTAAGGGAGACGTTTTGGTCCGCTATATCCCACAGCAGGATCGAACGATACAATGAAAACGTGACCCTGGTTAAATCCGTTCTTTGGTCATGGGAAGTTAACTTACAGTAAAAATGGACATTTTCGCGTGTTTAAATATTTGCGTTGTGACTCTTTATTTTAAATTGATCACGTTGAGGAAATTTTCGCGTTGGCAAGGTTCTTAAATCTATATATATTCTTTATAAAAGTACAGATTATATCTTATAACAAATATTAGCGATGGGTTATTTTTGTGCTTATTACTAAAATCATAAATGCAAGCATTTCAGCACTGCGAAAAGTTCCACTTTTGAATGAAAAAAATAGACAATAGGAATGTCACAATTTTAAATTTTAGCTTTCCTAAGGCTCTTTCGAATTCAAAATTCTTCCACTTGTTTCCTGGTTATAAAATGCTGATAAATACCTGGAAATGATATTAAGAAGATCTATTATTGTAAACACTTCGTTATCTTCAAATTCATTGACGCATGGTACATTTGTAGAAAACAACTTTTGTTAATAAAACAAAAAGATTCGTTCCAATCTTTGTTCCGTTCTCCGTTTTCCGTCTTATTCCGTATTCCGTTTCTCGATTTACTTCCATACAGAGGTGAAACCTTACTGCACAGATTACAATGCTACGCAATGTCAAATATTTTTGCAGAAACATAAACCATACTGTTAAATTTGCCTCGATTTAAAAAAAATGAAATCTCAGCATTTTAGTTACTACCGGTCTTAGACGAAACATGTATCTAAACTGTGAAATACCAATTTAAAAACCCGTAACAGATTAAAGAACTTCTCAAAACATTTTATCACTTTCCCACCCCCGTCCCATTCCTTCCAAAAATACTCGCGCGAGGTAAACACAATCTACAGTATCCCTGGTAACGGAAGTGTACCTTCTACCGAAAGATTTAGACAAGGATTTCAGCAGCTGGACTACACCTGTCTAACACCTGTCCAGGTAGCTAATTACAACAGCCAGGTACCGACATTTTCATGAGATAGATTCGTTTATGGAAACCCGATGAAACCAAAGATGTCGAGTTTTTACGTCATCTCCATACTTCTTCAACGGACTGGGGCCCGATTCTAAAGAAGTTTGCTTTTGGCATCTTACAACCAGCTGCGTGTTATTTGCTCAACTCGACTAGGTTTTCAAAAATATTAGTAAAACCTGAAATTTCTTTAATATAGTTTCTTAACTATCCTATGGAAACCATATACATGTACACAAGATTGTGCTTTTTTTTTTTACACATTTTAAGACAAATTCACGATCATTTAATTTTGAAAGTTGGTTGTATAGGCTGTCAAGCTGAAGCTGACAAATATATCATGAGTGTCATATCTCTTGACAAAATCGGCGGGAAAGCAAGTTCACCATCAATTATAATGTCATGTAGTTATCACCCTGAAGACTTAGAGCAAATGCCATGTCAAGAAACAGATTATGTATTTTGGCTGAGCTGAACTCGTGTAATTATTTAAACGTGATATACAAGCAATCAATGTCAGAAACGAATGTCGTTCAAGTGCGTTTTGGTAAGGTTATACTGATAAATAGATATACCTATTTTATAATTGTGTGTTTTTTTTGTCGATAAGTGAAATGCTTATATCATTACAAATGTATAACGCTCGTTTTCCTTCTTTCTTCTTTATTTTAAATTTCTTATCGTCAAAATAAGAAATTATTCATCGGATATTATTTTTTTGGGATTTGATGTTCACCCTAAAATATTGCATTTTCTTTTTCCCATTAGCAAAACGTATTGACATTTAACAGCATGTGTTTAAGTGCACACGAGAGTTGAAATAGTACATTCCTTGTCAATCAAAAACATCGTATTTTGAATTGACGATGTGTTATTTTGGCGATGTATTAAAAACAATCAGTGCATTATTGAATAGCGATACCTAGCACGTCATTAAACGACCATAGTAGCTGTTAAAAAGACGCAAAGAACAAACAAACCAAGGCAAACAAACCCCGATTTCAGAGCCACGTGAATATCTGTCAACATTCCTAGGTGGCGCTAGCTTCGTTATAATTTGTGACGCGAGTATACCATATATCATTAGACGTTTAACTTCTATGTTCAGTTCCGGTTTGACTTTTCAAACAAGCCAATGAAATGGTAATTGGATGGTGTAGAAGTAAATAGTCCACACAGCTTTAGTGTGTCAGTAGTATAAAAGGCTAACAAATGCTTTTCTGGAAAAATGCCACCGGGTTTGTTATGTAAATAAAGGTGAATTCGAGGATAGTTCACCGTTTGTATATTGTTTGGGGGGAGAAATAGCAGTAGGTTTGTTTTCAAAACTGGCAGACCCGGATAAATAATGCAGTATACGTACCCAAGGCAACAATGGTAGGTTTTCATATCGTACGCCCAAACCGATACATGCTTAAAGAGTGTGAGACTTTGAGGAGGGTCCATTAAAGGAATATCGAGTTGGATTAGTTATATGTATTTTTCATTTGATTTGGTCATCAATGAATATGTTTGAAGATCAATACTACTCGTGCTTTTCAGTTTGTCTAGTTAAATGTCGAGCATATTGCTGACCACACGGCTTTGAGCCTCGGGTCATTTTATTAACCTCTGACCTCGATCATCGGGTCATACATGTACTCAAGGTTTCCGATCAATCTCAAACAGAACGTGGAATACAAAGCTTGTGCATACACTGACGGACAGGCAAACACAAATTCAGATACAAAGTTACACTTATAATTGAAGTGTTTATGTCAACATCCACACACACATAATTAAGACACAACCTTTTTTGAAAGATTGAAAAACAATTAAGAAACAAACTTACGTCGGCTTTATCGTGGCTCACGTCTAAATCACGGAGCAGTTCGATCTCCTTTTTCCGGAATTCGTCCTTGAGGTTTTGTATTGTGTCCTTGAGACCTCTGACCTCGCCGTATAGTTTGGTCAGCTCCTGGTCTTTCAGCTTCACTGATCCCGTCAGCTTCTCTGTGGAAATTATAAACACATAAGTCATCGTTTGCATAGGTTTCACAAGTTGTTTAAATATTAGTACATTGTATAGCCGTTCCGTAATCCTTTCCCTCCGTCCCGTTTTCGTTTCTGTGACCGTGAACTTAATGAATGTACCATGTATACTGTAAATCATTAAAAAGTTGACGGATTACCGAACGGAAGACTGGGCGGTTAGGTGTTAAAATTGGAAGTGGAATACAGACTGTTTCATGGATCGGATCGTACAGAAACGTGGAGTAAACCCACGTGGTCGGGCATATGGGGTCACCTGCCCGATTACGTTGGTTTTCTCCGGGTACCCCGGTTCTCTCCTACACTAAGACCCTCCCCCTCCCCCCAAATAACTTGTTTCATAATTGTTGTAAAATAAATAAAGTTTAATACAAAATAGCTATAAAGGTTTGTTACTACAATATATAACGGAGGTATGTGTAACTTGGCGAAATCTTCTGAAGAATTAATCATTACGATCATCTCCTTTAATCCATACACAAACAACTATTTGAAATCAACAACTTTAGGTTCGCTTTTGAGATTTTTATTCCTTAGGTTTTCAGACTTATCGGCTCATTTTTTGACAAAGCAATGTCATCCACTTTCTACCAATTGGCGCACAAGACAACGGCCTGCTAGACAACGGCTAGACAACGGCCTGCTAGACAACCGATTGCACTTTCAATTGAAAACGACTGTTTCGCACTTTCTACGACCGTCATCCATGTTCTACCGTTTGGCGCACTTGTACCTACGTACGTTATCTTCTTTCTACCATTTAGCGCACTTGACAACGACCGTTATCCATGTTCTACCATTGGGCGCACTTGTACCATTTAGCGCACTTGCCTTCGACCGTTATCCATGTTCAACCATTGGGCGCACTCGACAACGACCGTTATCCATGTTCTATTATTGGCCGCATTTGTACCTACGACCGTTATCCTCTTTCAACCATTTAGCGCACTTGACAACGACCGTTATCCATGTTCTACCATTGGGCGCACTCGACAACGACCGTTATCCATGTTCTACCATTGGGCGCACTTGCCTTCGACCGTTATCCTCTTGTTACCATTTAGCGCACTTGACAACGACCGTTATCCATGTTCTACAATTGGGCGCACTTGTACCTACGACCGTTATCCACTTTTTACCATTTAGCGCACTCGACAATGACCGTTATCCATGTTCTACCATTGGGCGAACTTGTACCTACGACCGTTATCCACTTTGTACCATTTAGTGCACTCGACATAAGCCTTTGTCAAAGTTGCACTCAACCCATCAATAAGTCTATGGACTACTCGTGCACATACGACGTGTCATTCATGTACCAGAACAAATGGCCTTTAGAACAATACCAGGTCATTAGCAATCACTGTCCTTCCAATAACGTAAAATGTCAACAAATGACGCGAAGCTCAAGTCTGTTTCTATTAAAACGTCGCCGTCTAAATCTATTTGGAGTGACTGTGTTTGCGGTAGCACTCCTAGTTTTCCTTACATTGTCACAGTAACAGACAGGCTGCTGCTCGGAAGATACCTGTTCGCACTAATAACACTCCCTGGAAATTCGTCAGAGGGAACATAAAACAAGAGTTTATTGCTTTCTGAAATGTGCCCTTGGAAACTTCACTAAGATATTAAGTTTTAGTCCTATGAAAATTAAAACTATAAGATTTTTATATTGGCGGTCTCAGTACGGCAAATGAAGGTGTAAAATGAGATATCTTGTGGTTGTAAAGTGGGTTATCATGGCTACGTACCACTTGCCGCGAGCTGTCGTAATATGTGACAGAACAGAACGATAGGGAGTGTGAACCGAAGACCAAGCATTCCGGAAGGATAAGCGTTTTATGCTTCATAAATGACAACCACAATGCAAATCTGGGACAAATTCATGTAATTGTAAGTTCTCAAATGTAGAACCGGGGCATAGACCTCGTAACGACAATTTTTTGTGTATAAAACTCATCGACCTTCATATCATACAAGGAAATAGAATATTTCCAAAACGAGATCAACCGGTGTTTCTTGCAATTTTTGTGATGCAAGTTTGTCCGTTAGCGGTCAAAATATATCACGGCATTTTATCATATTACACTTTGACGCCATAATTTGGCATTTAAATTTATGCCATATAAACTGCCATTGCGATTCTTGGACATCAACAGCAGTTCTTATCCACGTTTCATTCAAACATGTTAGCCAAAATTAAGTAAATAGATAAATAAATACGAAAATGTAATAAAATAAATAAGAAAATAAATTTTAAAGAAAATGAATTATAAAAAGAAGAATGGGAATGCAGTTTATGTGATCGTTTTCTAAGTATCTGTGCTCATCAGGCTTAAATCAAACGCATGTATTAAGATAAGATAAAGTCTGATATTAGGGTCTAGCCAGTGCCTGCAAAACGTGCAAGATAGCGTTGGAGCAGGTCAAGGTAAACAGATGAATGTGTAAGGATCCATCTGAATTATTTACAAGGTTACAAGTTATTTATCATATATTTGCATGCCTACCACCTAGTGAATCTTACTATAATGACACAGCCATTTTAAAGACCCTGAAATACAAGATCCTGTATTTCATAATGTGATAATACACTAGATGCTGAGCACCTTAGTAGTCAGAACAACTTTTTTGACTGTAAACTATCAGTTGTAACATATCCATTGATCAAAACGACGAATTATAGGGGCTCGAACATTCAAGCGCCATTTTGTACTATGGTAACGTGACAACGTGCAGTTCGGTCCTCGACGTCGTTATTCCGTTGTTGAGTTCAAGTTATGGGAAGCACACTGAACTTTTAAACGAGGTAATGATGAGTAATGTTGTTTTTTTTCAGATAAAAACAACATATTTCTATATCAAGAATTGTTGTAGGTTAATGCAATCAAAACTACTCATATCTGTCCGTTTGACATTTAAGGTTGCACTTGTTTGTTGCGCGAATGGATAAATTTCACTCGAGCAAAAACCCTCATGAAACATATTCATACGCTCATTGCTCTCTTGCTATTTGAGACATCAAATGAACACGTATGGGTAGCATTGTCAATGTATTTATCGAACACTGTATATACATGTATCATACAATGTATATATCAAACATTATATATACAATACATTTTGTATACCAAACATGGTATATATATATATATATATATGTATCACACATTGTATATATATCAAACATTGTATATGTATCACACATTGTATATATCAAACATTGTATATATATCAAACATTGTATATATATAAAACATTGTATATATATCAAACATTGTATATATATCAAACATTGTATATATATCAAACATTGTATATATCAAACATTGTATATATCAAACATTTATTACATAATTCACTGACCTTTTCCTATATATGCCGAAATAACATATTATCGACTATTTTGAGCATTTTCCTAAAACGTTACTGCACCGTGCAGTATTCCGGATTTGCCGTGCACTATTTGCATTTGATATTGCACTGTTTTCCCAAACGCACGCTTGACTCAGATTTCCGACTTCGTCCACGGAAAATCAAAGCGCTATAGTGACGCCGGACTCCCTATAAGCTACCGCTCCATAACAACCATAAACAGGGGCAGGCGACGGGCGTTTTTTTCAAGTGCTGGACTCCGACATCCCGCGGAATCCCGCGCTTTATTCGTTGCACTAGTTACCTGTACGATACAGGTCGCAGTACAAAATTCTGGTATACACATCCAAGGCACTGAATGGAACAGCTCCTCAGTACCTAGAGAAACGTGTTACCCTGTATCAGCCGTCAAGATCACTGCGGTCGGAGTCAGAATCTTTGTTGTGTGTCCCAAAAGCTAGTACTGTGACCTACGGAAACAGATGCTTTGGGAGGGTTTCGGCTTCGTTGTGGAATAGCTTAACATTTGCTATTAGGAAGACAAATACCCTGGCCAAGTTCAAGAGGGACATAAAAACTCACCTCTTCACGTCTGCATTTTAGAATCTTTGCAAAGACGTCATGTAAATACCACCCTTTTATTTGTTCAATTATGTGCACATTGCTTGTTAAATGTATGAAAGAGATTGCAAGCCTTTGTTGTTTGTTTTCACAATTATAACCATTACTATTATCCATATGTTGTAAAGCGCCTTAGAGTAATTTTACAAATTTTATAGGGCGCTATATAAATGTTGTATATTATTATTATTATTATTACAAGGCGGATTAAATTGGAATTTAAATTGCGTATATTTCGGCAAGTTAATATTGTTCACAAAACCCATGTGGCCTGTTCATCTAATTTAGTCAAGATGTACTCAGAACAGTCGTTGTTTAGTCGCTAGGGTCATTAACAAAATAATTAGTATTATTATATAAACTTATTGTAATTATTAAAGTATTTGTTTGAGTTTGATTATGTAATAAAACAAATATATGATGGCTTACTGTGCGCTAGTCCCGAATATTTGCCCCTCGGTGGTGGTAATCAACAAGTGTTATATTGCACTCAGCCTACTGCCTTGTGCAATATAACACTTGTTGATTTCCACCACCGAGGGGCTAACATTCGGAATTAGCGCATAGTAAGCCATGAAATATTTGTATAATATTAAACATTGTATATATATCAAACATTGTATATATATCAAACATTGTATATATATCAAACATTGTATATATCAAACATTGTATATACAAATATCATAAATGGTATGTATCATACAATCAATATATCATACATTTTACATAATAAGTACAGTACTTAATTTATCATAATCGTATGTCTTACATCGTATACCTTACATTGAATAGTGTACATGGTTCACATAAATTATACATTGTATATATCATAGTCTAGCACGCATCGTATAGCATACACCGTACAATGTACGTACATTGTATTGTATACATTGTATAGCTTACATTGTATATATCATAGTCTAGCACGCATCGTATAGCATACACCGTACAATGTATATTAA